TATCTTCTTCCATTAAGTAGACTGTCTTTTCATTTTGTTGATGGTTTCCTTTGTTGTGTAAAAACTTTTTAGTTTGATGTAGTTCCATTTGTTTATTTTTCTTTTGTTTCTCTTGTCTGAGGAAAAGATTACTGTTAGCAATATCAGAGAGATTACTGCCTATGTTTTCTTCTAGAAGTTTTATGGTTACGAGTTACATTTAAGTCTGTAATTCATTTTGAGTATATTCTTGTATATGGTGTAAGAAGATGGTCCAGTTTCATTTTTTTTGCATGTATCTGTCTAGTTTTTCCATCACCATTTATTGAAGAGACTGTCTTTATCTCATTCTATATTCCTGCCTCCTTTGTCATGTATTAAGTGAGCATATAGATGTGGATTTATTTCTGGGCTCTCTATTCTGTTCCATTGATCAATGTGTCTGTTTTTATGCCAATATCATGCTGTTTTGATTACTATAACCTTGTAGTATAGTTTGATATCAGTTAGTGTGATACTTCCAACTTTGTTCTTCTTTATCAAGATTGCTGTGGCTTTTCGGGGTCTTTTATGGTTAAATTTAAGTTTTTGGGTTATTTGTCTTAGTTCTGTAAAAAATGTCATTGGTATTTTGATAGAGATTGCATTGAATCTATAGGTTGCTTTGGGTAGTATGGCCATTTTAGTGATGTTAATTCTTCCTACTCATGAGCACAGTATATGCTTCCATTTATTTGTATCTTCAATTTCTTTTTTCAATGACTTATAATTTTCTGAGAACAGGTATTTTACCTCCTGGGTTAATTTGATTTTTAGGTATTGTTTTTTATGAAGTTGTAAATGGGATTGTTTTCTTAATTTCTCTTTCTGAAAGTTCATCATTGGTATATAAAAATGCAACCGACTTATTAGTTCTAACAGTTTTTTGGTGGTAGGATTCTCTCTGTTTAGTATCATGTTATCTGCAAATAATGGCAGTTTTACTTCTTCCTTTCTAATTTGGATACTTCTATTTCTCTTTCTTGTCTGATTGCTATGGCTAGGACTTCCAGTACAATTTTGAACAGAAGTGGTGAAAGTGGGCATCCTTGTCTTATTTCTGATCTTAAAGGAAAATGCTTTTAGCCTTTCTCCATTGAGTATGATGTTAGCTGTAGGTTTGTCATATATGACCTTTATTATGTTAAGATATGTTCACTCTATTCCCATTTTGCCAGGAGTTTTATCATAAATGAATACTGGATTTTGCCAAATGCTTTTTCTGCATCTATTGATGTGATCGTATGATTTTTATCTTTCAATTTGTTAATGTGGTGTATCACATTAATTGATTTGTGGATATTGTACCAACCTGGCATCCCAGGAATAAATTCAACTTGATCATGGTGTATGATATTTTTAATGTATTGCTGAATTCAGTTTGCTAATATTTTGTTGACGTTTTTTGCATCAATATTCATAAGAGATATTGGCCTATAGTTTTTTTTGTTTTTTTTTTGGTAATGTCTTTGTCTGGTTTTAGAATCAAGGTAATGGTGGCTTCATAAAAGGAATTAGGGAGTTGTCCTTCTTCTTGAATTTTTTGAAATAGTTTGAGAATAATAGGTATTAATTCTTCTTAGCATGTTTGGTAAAATTCACCTATGAAGGCATCTGGTCCAAGACTTTTGTTTTTTAGGAATTTTTTGATTACTGATTTGATTTCCTTGGTGGTAATTGGTTGATTCAGATTTTCTGTTTCTTCTTGACTCAGTCTTGGGAGATTTTATGTTTCTAGGAATGTATCTATTTCTTCTAGATTGTCCAATTTGTTGGTGTATAATTGCTTGTAGAATTTTCTCATGATCCTTTTTCTGTGGTGTCTGTAGTTTTTATTTCTCCTCTTTCATTTCTGATTTTATTTATTTGAGTCCTTTCTCTTTTTTCCTTGATGAGTTTGGTTAAAGGTTTATCAATTTTGTTTAACCTTTCAAAGAATCAGTTCTTGGTTTTATTAATCTTTCGTATTGTTTTTCTAGACTCTATTTCATTTATTTCTGCTGTGTTCTTTATTGTTTCCTTCTACTCTCTTTGAGTTTTGTTTGCTGTTCTTTCTCAAGTTCTTTTAAGTGTAAGACTAGATTGTTTATTTGAGCATTTTCTTGTTTCTTGAGGTAGGCCTGTATTGCTATGAATTTTCCTCTTAGGACTGCTTTCGCTGCGTCCCACAGATTGAGTCATGTATTTATTTTCATTTGTCTCTAGGTATCTTTTGATTTCTTCCTTGATCTCATTGTTAACCCACTGATTATTTAGTAGCATGTTATTTAGCCTCCATGTGTTTGTGTATTTTCCAGTTTTATTTTTGTAGTTGATTTCTAGTTTCATACCATTCTGGTAGGATAAGACACTTGATATGATTTCGGTCTTCTTAAAGTTATTGGTGCTTGTTGTGAGTTCTAACATGTCTATCCTGGAAAATGAAAACGTTTCATGTGCACTTGAGAAGAATGTATATTTTGCTGCTTTGGAGTGAAATGCTCTGAAAATATATATTAAATCCATCTGCTCTAGTGTGTCTTTTAGGGCCATTGTTTCCTTATTGATTTTCTGTTTGGAAGATCTGTCCATTGGTGTCAATGGGATGTTAAAGTCCTCTACTATGAGTGTATTACTGTTGATCTCTCCTTTTATGTCATTCAATAATTGCTTTATGTTTGTAGGTGCTCCCATATTGTGTGTGTATATGTTTATTAGGGTTATGTCCTCTTGATATATTGATCTCTTTATCATTATTTAATGCCCTTCTTTGTCTCTTATAGCCTTTGTTTTAAAGTCTAATTTGTTTGATATAAGTATTGCTATCCCAGCTTTTTTTTCATTCCATTTGCATGAAATATCTTTTTCCATTCCTTTACTTTCACTCTTTGAGTATCATTTGATCTGAAGTGAGTCTCTTGTATGCATGAGTCTTGTTTCCTTATCTATTTGGGTACCCTGTGTCTTTTCATTGGAGCATTTAATCCATTTACATTTAAAGTGATTATTGACATTTATGTAGTTACTACCATTTTATTATTTGTATTTATTTCTCTCTTTCTCTCACTCTCTCTCTCTCTCTCTGTTTTTTACAGAATTCTCTTTAACATTTCTTGTAATACTGGCTTGTCAGTGATGAATTCCTTAAGCTTTTCTCTGTCTGGGAAGCTCTTTATTTCACCTTCCATTTTAATTGAAAGCCTTG